GGGTCTATCAGTGAACCCATGGGGGTACTTGAAGCACCTTCTTAAAAAGCCCTCAAGTCTCCTTAGACTTCCAGCCCACTATCCCTTTCCCCCTACGTCATGGCCGTGCCACACTACGTATGCAGCTGGGCCTCGTTCTTCACACAGCTAGTAGGTTTTTGTGCTACAAAGGTCCACAGCTGTGAATAATGCTGCCAGAATCCTGCCTTCCACATTTTCTGGAAAGGGAGTTCTTTTTGCTGCTTCTGCACCAGTCACATCAGCCATAAACCCCCATCAGCAGTTTCTTTTCATGGTGACTTTGAAGCTAAGGGCAGGGGGAAGAAGGGCCCCTCCTGGGTTGAGAATCTCTTCTCTAGAGCATTAAGACACCCGGCTCGGAGATCCAGAGGGGATCCTGGGGCTGCCTCCGGGGGCCCCACTGTGAAGACGTTCACAGTGACGATGGCCCAGCAGGCCTGCCCCCTGATCTCAGAGGTCTTGCTTCTCAGTGAGAGGCTGTGGAGGGAGGCCTTGCTGCAGTCTCTGCCTAGATGCCCTTTCTCCTCCTCTCCCTGGACCCAGGGTGACCAGCTGGAGCCCTCCCTGCTGTGAGCCGGGGAGCACTGGAAAGACACTGGGGAACATGCTAAAGGCGAGGCTCCTGCTCTGGTGAGCGAGGCTGGCAGAGGCCGCCTCACTCCTGCTCCAGGCACCTTCAACCTAGGGCTCCTGGGGGGACACAGAGGGACACTGGTCCAGATGTCCACTCTGTGCCTGACTTTCTATGACAAAGAATGCAAACCACCGCCTTCTCCCCCCATTCCTCAGGCCTCTTGAGACAGGCTGGAAACAGAGGACAGGGAGCATCCTCTGTTCTGATCTGTGCTACTGAAGCCGAGGCAGGAGGGCTTCGGGCAGACACAGGTCCCATCCTGCTGATCACACTACAGGAATGATTACCAGCAACGGAGGAGCTCCTGCCCACCACAGGCTCACTGGGGCTGGGTCCTGTGCTAAGTGCCTGATGTTCAGCATCTCATCTGATCCAGAGTCTAAGAGACCTGGGGGAGAGGCTCCTTTTTTGTTCTCTCTTTTTTTTTTGGTACTGGGGATCAAAGTTGGGTCCTTGTGCTTGTGCAGCAGGTGGCGAAACGACTGAGCTAAATCCCTGGCCCTTGCTCTCTCTTTATGGACAAGGAAACTGAGGCTCAGGAAGGCTAGGTCATTTGCTTGAGGGAGCCAACCATTAAGCGGCACAGCCAGGCCTGGCCTATACAACACCAAAGCCCATGCATGCTCTTAGCCATCAGCCCACAGGGCCACCTGGGGAGAGAACATTACCAGAAAGGGATGCTACTATAAGTTGTCATAAAAATACAAACTGCCAAAAAAAAAAAAAAACCACAAAAAAACAAACTGCCAGGAGTTACCTTCACAATGAGTGGATAAGACAGAAAAAAAAGACCCTGAGGCTTTACTGAAGGACAAGATGACTTATTGGGGACAAGCTTTACTCCTGAGAAGGATAGTTCAACCTCATAAAAGGGCCGATATCCCCCTAGGTAAACTGTGAGGACAGACAGGCAGCTGTGGTGGGCAGGGTCTGGAGGGTGCTGTACACTTTCTCTGTGAACACAGTCCAGAAGGCATATGTAGACCACATTAGTCCCATTTCACCGGTCCAGGGAAGTTAACTCCTCACTGAGAAACCCGGCCAGGAAGGGCCAGGGCCAGGATTCAGGCCTCGGTTTGGCAGCCGTTGTTTCTGGCACCTGTATTTGCTCTTCAGGGACAGAAGTCCTTCTGGATCTTTTTGGAGATGGATCCCTGTGAGTGTTTTAAATGCAGGCCGGAAGGCAGTTGTGCTTAGGAATAAGGGATCATGTCCAGCCCCTCCCAGGCCAATCCATCATCAGGAAGGAATGTGGAGAAGACCCCCATCGTGCAGTGCTCTCTGCTTGGGCACAGACACCTTCAAGTTGTGCTCTTAGGCAGCTGGCAGCTGCCTGGTTTAGAGGCAGCTCACAAGTGGCATCTTCTGGGCAGGGGATGGGGCAGGTTCCTCCTTTCATGAATGGGCCCAGCAGGAAGCACTGAGCATGTGCTCTGCACTCCATGCTAGGGAAATCAGGGTCACATTTTCTCTTAAACAACAAGCAACTGGATCTCTAGCTAATGGAAGGATTTCTATTTCAGTGCCAAGAATATTAATTTGACACCTGCAAATTCTTTGATAAAAGGGATTTTCAGATAATGTCTACAAGGAGCAGGCGATACAGAGGAAACAGCCACTTAGCCTGAATAATGGAAAGGCAGAGACAATGGAGGATGCCAGAAAGGTGTGGCCCACTGAGCTGTCACTGGGGCGGAACTGGGGAACAATAGAAGACAAGGCCCGGCAGCGAGGCCACATGCCAGCGGGACTGCGGAACACAGTGGCGGGGCAGAGTAAGGTCTCCCAGTCTGCCTTCCCTGTACCCAGCTCTCATGTCATTAAAGCCTGGGTGCACACTGCCCCCTGAGGCCCATGGCTCTCAGCGCCAGGGAGGAGTATGTGGGTTTAACACAACTGTACTGGGAGGAAGGACGTTTGCAACAGAGATGACAGGCTGAATGTCCCAAATATATAGAGTGTCTACAAATCAGTAAGAAAAGTGGACAAAGGATTTGAGTGCTGAATACACACACATCACCACACCAAGTTGAGAATTTTCCTCAAGAACTTACGGAGCATGAAAAACAGGTCAGAGAACATTCTGGAGCAATCAGGAGGAGTCGGGGATGTTAAGAACTAAACTCCAGCTCCCCACCCCAGCCTGTTCTGCCCTGGCTCACAGGCCTGGTAGTTAAACAATGAAACAAACACCTTTGAAGTCAACAGGTCTGGCTTTGAGTGGGGGCTCCAATACTTTCTAGCTGTGTTTCTAGCAAGTTACCTACCCTTGCTAGGCTGTAGTTTTCTGAACTTCGAAATGGAAATGACAGAACTCTTCCATACAACTGGCCTGACAGCTCTCTAGCCACTACAACAGAAGGACTAATGCGGTCCCTGAACTCCAGTGAGCTCTGATTTGAGATCAGAGTTGTGTTTGGAAACACCTGGAAAAACCCAACAAAAACCGCTTTCTACAAAGGAAGTTCTAGCAGAAGAGGACTTTGCCTTGTGTGTGGCTGTTCTCTCACTGCCAAGTACACAGTGCCTCCTCAGGGTTCAAGACACTGGGAAAGGGACATTCGGAAACGGGACTCTGGTGGAGAACCAGGATGTGGCAGAATCCTGACTCCTAATGATCATCAAGGTCCCCCAGTCCCTCCTCGAAAGATGGGAAAGAGGGACTCTTCCCTCCTGTCACAGCACTACCCCCACGGTCCCCAAGAGCAGCTTCGATCCTCCCCCACAAGGCCCACAAGATGTGCCCCACAGCTCTGACAACATTTGGCACTTCAGCAAATCGAGTTTCCACAGCCGCAGCCTGAAGAGAGCAGTTTAATGGGCTGCATCTCCTCGAGCTCCCTGTAAATGCACACGTACACAAAAGCCAATTCCGAGCAAAGAAGACTGGATGGGATTAAACAAGTCAATTTAAAGGACTGAAGACTCAGCTGCTTCCAGTGACGCCCTAGGAAGGCATCAATCAGCAGAGCTCTCCTCTTCCTTTCTGTACTGAAGAGAGGGCTGGCTAAGCGGTGAGTCACTCCCAGCTCGCAGGCAGAATTGGGCTGAATCCACCTGAGCCTGGTACACAGGGGGAGAGAAGGGGACAGGTAGGAGGGGCTGGGGCACTCACACACCATCTCTTTGGGAATTTTCTGGAAATGCAGAGAACCTCAGAGGACCTATAGCTGATACCTGCCTGTCCGCTTCTCTCTTCAGCCCAAGTTCCGTAGGACAGGCTGGGAACCAGCCCAGGGAAGACCCAGGTGCCTCATTCCTATGAAGCTGAGAGCAGTGCCTTCTCCCCGCAAGCCCTGTCCACTCTCGTGGTCTTACGAGGCAGTGTGAGCAGGTCTGTCGATTCATGCCCACTGCCACATGGACCAGGGGCTCTGCCCATCCCCCACAGTGCCTCAGAGCTTGGAAGTGGGAAGAGGGTGAGTCATGGCTCAGACCACCAGCATCTGGACTACCAGAACTGACACCCAGCCTGAGTTGTAGCCGTGGATGGAGGGAGGGCTGCCATGTTTGCAAATGGGTGTGCCTAGCCACAACACCTGCCCCATGGTGAGAGGCAGGGGAACCCCAAAAGAACTACGCTGCCCCAGCTCCAGGGCAGGTGCTGCTGAGAACAGAGCGGGGAAATGGTGAGTGGCTGGAGGAGAGCCCCTCCCAGATGACAGGAGGCCCTGGGATGCCCCATCTTCGACCCCAGGCCAGCCTCTGCTTGCTGGCTTTCTTGGGGTTACTCCTCTGACCAAGGTCAGCCACTTTCTTTCACACCAGCAGCTCCTGGTGACCCCAACACAGAAGGCTTAAAGGACCAATTTCAAACTGGAGGCTAAAGTGGATTTTAACTGATACAAATAACATAACTAATACAAACAAGCACTCAGCATGCGTGTGGCACACTCTACAGTACATACGGGTCATGTGGTTCTTGTGCGCCAGGTTCTGCTGCTACCCCCATGGGACAGACAAAGAAATATAGGCGAGATTCGAGCATCTGGCTCAATCTGGGCAGCAAGGCAGGGCCAGACCTTGCCCTCATGAAGCCTGACCCCAAAGCCATGCTCCCCCACTCTCAACACCTTCCAGGGAGGATGGATACACTCCTGCAGGGTCTGCAGACTCCTGTCCTCACTGACAGCCTGTCCCAGATGCTGCAGAAGAGCCTGCAGTGTCCTGACTCCCAAAGCCCACAGCACTAAATACAACTTCACCTCCAGGGCAACTGTCTGGTGTCGAAAAAGAATACAACAGGAACCAAGCAAGCACATCTCTGCTATGAGACATTACAAGGTGGGGAACAGGGAGGCTGGTAGCCAGTGTTCCGTAAGGCAGGGTGGTGCCGGTGACCTACCTCATCAGATTCATCCGATAGAGTCTGAAGCAGGATGGGCAGGAGGCTGTCTGTGTGCCGGAACATCTGGAGAGCAGAGAAGGGGGCGTGCTAAGTGGTGAGAGATCCTCCCTTTTAGGAAAGCATCCTGGGGTTCTGCTTGGACCCCTCCCTCCCTGCAAGACACCACAGACCCCACAGCATCTGTTGCTCCTCTGCTCGCCAAGTTCCTTCAGAATGGTAATGACTTGAGCCCCCACAAGCATGGACAGGCCAAGGTGGTCCTGGAAGAAGCTGCCTGGCATGGAGGGGTCTCCTCAGGAGCCAGGCCCGGGCCTCACCTTGCGGGGAGTCTTGATGTAGAGGTGGTAAAGCCACTTCAGAACTGCAATCCGGCTCATCATCCCGATCGCCACGTCACTGAGATGGCAGTTGAGGACCTGCACAATCCCATCCAGGTTCAGGGTCACTGGGGCCCTGTCAGTGCTGTGGGCAAGAGCAGCAGAGAGACAGCTGGATGAAGCCCCATGACACCCACAGCACCTCCTGGGGCCTGAGCTCAGAACCACATGGCCCCGCCCCACTGCTCTGGGGTGCAGCTGGAGCAGACAGCAGCAGACACCCTCAGCTCTCTCAAGATCCTATCTCTGCCAGCCCAGCCTGGTAGCTTGAAAGAAGCCTCACTTCTTTCTCCCTGCTTCCACCCACCCTCTCCAAAGAAGTTCAGACCCTGTGGCTTGGTAGCAGTTATGCTACCCTCCAGTGGCAGGGGAGACCAGCCTGCTGGGCTCCTACTCACTCCTCCTCCTTTTCCAGCACCAGCCTGGCTTGTACAGTGCCTTGGAACTGACCAGCCGGATGTCTGGGCTAAAAGGCTGTTCAGCATCTTTGGGGAATTAAGTCAGACCCTCTACCGATGACAGAAAACCACCATGTCTAGACAGTATGCAGGAGGACCCTACAAACACCCAGGACATCGAACAGGCCACTCCAAGCCAATACAGAACATTTCTCAAGTGAGGATAGGTACTGTGGCTTGTCATCTTGCCACATGTGTACTTGGCAGAGGGTTAGCCTACAAGAGAACCCTTGGGTTGCCTCCAAAATGGAAATGCTTTCTTGTGAGTCAGAGAAGAGGCCACAGAGCCTCTGCCTATGAGAAAGGGAGACTGTTGAAAATGTGTGGATGCCCCTATGAGGCGCAGGAAGTCCTGGCTCCTGTGGGCTTGGGCCTTGCTGGTCTCTCAGAGAAAAGTCACATGAAGCAGCCCAGAGGAGGCTGGGTGCCGCCCGGACAGTGAGTCAGCTCTCTGCCCAAATCATGGCCCTCTGGCTGAGATGGTTTTCTGGGTGGCGACAGCATGGGCAGTGTGTGACACGATGGTGAGGGGGCAGGCTGTGTTCTCTGAGGACAGGCCAGCTGGTTCCACTGCCCGCCAGTATAAAATGGTCCCTGGTGGCATTTCCAGGCTGCTCAATTATTCATTTGCATCAGCAATTCGATGGCTGTGCTGCCCTCATTTGCCCGCAGCCTCTCTGAAGCGCGTGTGATGTGAATTCCTACAGGGCATGATTCTGAGCTCTGTAACTGATAGGCGGAATTGCTATTTAATATGGGTTGATGATCCCCTGGTGTCTGTTTAGGGGAGAGAGTGGGCACGTCCGTACTCAGGGGGCCAGAAGATCCAGGCCCAGAGAGGAAGTGGGGGGGGGTACCGCGCTTTCCTCCGGAGTCACATGGCTGGAAAAGCCTGGTGGATTCTGAGGACATCAAAATGTCTGAGTGCTTTGGCGGCCCACAACACTCAGAAAGCAAAGCGCGGACAGGTCCAGGCGGCCAACGTGGCCCCGACAAGCCTTCGCCCGCTTTCGCGCTCACTGCCCAAAAAAGCATTGAGCGAGCCACAGATGGGATTCCACATCCTCCAGTTTTAAATTGGAAAGGAAAAAGAAACAAACGGAATTAGTTTCAATGTTTTAATTGTGCCAATATATCCAAAATATCATTAGCATTTCGACATGCAATCAATATAATGAACATAAAGATGACTGATGAGATACTTCACATTCCTGTACCCTGACCTTCCAAATCCAGTGTGCACTGTCTGCTTGCAGCAGGCTCCAGCTCAGACCAGCTACGCTTCAGGGGCTTAGCAGCTGTGTGGCTGTTGCAGCAGTCCATGCCCGGACTTTCTCAGCATTTCCCTATCGGCCATTGGCTCTCAGTCTCCTATACACTCCCTCTCCTTCTGCTGATGGCCAGCACTTCCTGTCTTATCTCCAGGTCTCTCTTTTCCCCATCTTGGTGGGCCTCCTGCAGAGGTCTTCTAGTGTGTTCACTATGGCTCGGCTCTTTGTGGGCCACAGAACCTGGAGCAGCTCCGTCTCAGTGGCAGAGGAGATGCCCACTGCAGCCCAGGGCCTTATATGACAAGGGTGGATGGTGAGGGGAGACTGCCCCACCCTGGCCCGTCCCTTCTTAACCCTGCACCCCGAGGTCTGCAGCAGGAGCCGCAGGGCACTCAGGCCACCGCATGGGCTCAGGGTGTCATGAGTAGCCTGAGCCTGACAGGTCACTGCCATGGCTCAGCCGATCCAGCCCCCAAGAGTCTAGATGTGCAAGGGCCTGGTCATGGCCTTGCCCTGCAGCTGCTGGAGGGGAGGAAGGCAGTGCCAAGCCCGAGCCCCCGCTGTCCCCAGCTGGAGGCCCAGTGGCGTATAAACCTTGGCAAGGGGAGAAATGGCTCTGACAACGGGACAGTGAGAGTGCTCAGGATCACAACGAGGCCCCTGCTGAGTGCTTTACCTATCAACTTCACGTCATTCTCTCAGCAGCCCTATGAGGGTCATGTTATTTCCATTTTGGAGATGTGGGCACTGAAGCACAGAGACATTAAGTGACCTGGCCAAGGTTACACAGCCACAAAGCACTGGTGCCTGCAAGCTGACTCTGAACAGTCCGACTCCGGCACAGCCACCTTCTAGCAGTGCTGGGGGCTCAGGACAGTCCATGGTGGCATCATCTCCAACCATCTTCTGGCACAGGCAGCAGAAGTGGCAGCCCCAGGTGTCGGTGGAAGGATGCTTCTGCACACTTTCCGGTGTACTTTCCTTCCTTCCTTGGTACTAGGGACTAGGGCCTTCACACTGAGCTATATCCCCCGCTTTTTAAATTTTGAGATGAGTCTTACCATGTTGCTAAGTTGCTTGGGCTGGACTTGAACTTGTGATCTTTCTGTCTCAGCCTCCCAGAGTACTAGGATTACAGGTGTGCACCACTATGCCTGGCCCTACAATGTATTTTCTTGTCAGAGGTGCAGCCACATTTCTGTGTGTGGAGAAAGACGCCACCTGAGAAGCCCTGATGCTGACCCATGGGGAACACTCTCGGCATCCCATGACACCAGGCTGGATGGTCCTTCTGAAGGCTGAGCTCACACTCACACTAGTCCGGAGATGTTTCTGGCCAGTCATGGAGGGATCTCCTTCGGGTACTGTGTCCGAGCCACTGAGAAAGGATGGATTTCATGGGGCCAGCATGTGAACTGGCAGCATTGTGTGCAATGACATTCTCTGACTTTCCCTGCAGCAAATGCTGGTGAGAGCAAACCTCCCCAGATACAACGAGTGTCTCCCAACTGCTGGTGAGGCAGGTGTCAGCCTCAGCCACCAAAAACTTCCTAAGTAGAAGGGATCTCACAGCTCATGTAACCTGATCCTCCTGTGAACAGCTGAGCAAACCAGGGTCCAGAGAGAGTATAGCCCATCTGAGGCCACGGGGCCAAGTGCTGAGAGCGCATTCCCTTGGCTGGAGACAGCCTCCTGAGTCTCTTCCCTCGGCTAGCAGAAGATGAAGGTCATGGAAGCAGGCGTGCACCCGGGCACCAAGGAGACTGATCTCAGTGCCTGGGAAAGGCTGGATCAGAGCTGCCTGGGATCCCAGCTGTCCTGCTGGGTGGGGCTGGCTGCTGAATCCTACGCACGCTCAGGGGGAAATGGGGCTCTAGGACTCTGGCCCTTCACAGAGGGGGCAGCTGGCATGATGAGCTCAGCTCCCTTCTGCCGGGCTGGGGCCTGAGATGTGGCACCCTCTCCCCAGGCTAACTTTACTCACCAAGCACAGAAGGGAGCTCACGCAGTTTATAATACATTTCTAAACTGGTTCCAAAAAGTCTAGACGAGTCACTCTTGGGGGCTTCTGAGTTATTTCAAGGTGTCTGCAAAACTCCATTTTCACTGAGCATTTTCTCATAAAGCATCTCATAACGAATGTCTTACACATATATATGTACTACAATTTCCAAGTGCATGGTGCTGTCGTGGCTATTAAAATACAGACTTACTGAATAATGCTTCTGATACTACCAATAAATAATACATTCCAGTGGTTCTCATTGGGAGACAGCACTTTATTTCTGTAATATCTAACTTTTGTGGTATTCATATTTCATCTCTAAATCAAATTAGAAGAAAGGTAAATCTAAAAATAGAGAATTCCAAGTTGCCCTTTTTTTATACAAGATCATTATATGCATTTTTTTAAATCAGCAGTTGCTGAGGTTTGGGAGGCAATGATTTCTAGATCTTTTCTGTTTAGGGCAGCCAGCTACGCCAGACCTGTGCTGTGTGTCACCGATGACCCCACTCGAGGCCTGGGCGCCAGAGGGAAGACCGTTCGTAGGGCAACACCTATCAAATGAGTCAGGGAGGCCAACACGCAACACTTCTAGAAGTCTCCAACTGTGACTAATTGGACTAAAGGCAGGGAATCTGGAGCCAGACAGACCCAGCCCGAATTCCAACTTGGTCACTGATTAGCTGAGTGGCTCTGAGCAGTAAGCTGGCCTCTCTGGTCTGTCTCCTCATTGGTACCATGGGGGTGATCAGGAGGTTCTTGTATCATTAGTGCAACTTTAAGCTGGGTAAAGTGCTTTGTGGGTGCCAGGCACTGTTCCATGCTCTTCACACATTTTAACTCATCTACGCTTCTTAGCCTGATGAGGTCGGTGTCGCCATGACACCCAGTTTACAGGCACAGCAGTCAGGAGATGAACCGGCTCTCGGCTTCATCTCCCAGCACCCCCAGAGGAAGGAAAGGCACCTAGTAAGCAGACATGTGGAGTGGCAAGTCCTCTCCCCGCCCTTGCCTCACTCCTCTAATCTGAGGCACCTCTGCTGTTCACCAGGCCGACCCCACTGTCCCCTGCTTCTCCAGTGCCTCACCTGGTGGCTCAGCCTGGGCCTGGTGCTTTCTTTCCCTGTACTCCTGGAGAGTGGGCAGAGGGAGGAGAGGGACCTAATGCTCTTTAGTTCAGTCAGTGATTTCTCCTTGTGGTGCAGTCCAAGTAAGGAATCTTTTTGAAGCTTTCAGCACACTCTCCACGGCCAGTGACCGTTAAGAAGCTCAGGACCGTCACCATCTCTGGCAGTTTACTGCTAGGCAAGAATGTCTTCTGAAGATTTTATGAACAAAACCTCAGTTGCCCGTGAACTAGCACAATCAACAAGTGGGATCTCTTCTTATTAAAAAGCTTCTGCACAGCAAGAGAAACCACCAGCAGTGTGAAGAGACAACCCACAATGTGGGAATAAATTTTCACCAGCTGTCCCTCAGACAAAGGTCTACTATCTTGAATCTATAAAGAACTTAAAAAGATCAGACCTCCCAAATTTAAAGACCCAATCCAAAAATGGGCATCTGAAATGAACAGACATTTCTCAGACAAAGAAGTAGAAATAACAAATAAACACATGAAAAAATGTTCAACATCACCAGTCATTTGAGAGATGCAAATGAAAACAATGCTGAGATTCCACCTCACTCCAGAAAGAATGGCTGCTATCAAGAAATCAACCAATAACAAATGCTGGCGGGGCTGTGGGGAAAGAGGAACCCTGCTCCACTGCTAGTGGGAGTGTAGACTGGTGCAACCACTGTGGAAATCAGTATGGAGATACCTCAAAGAACTAGGACTGGAAGTCCCATTTGACCCAGCTATTCCCCTGCTGGGTATCTTCCCCAAAGAATTAAAAGAATCATACCACAGTGATATATGTGCACCCATGTTCATAGCAGCACAGTTTGTAATAGCTAAAACTTGGAAGCAGCCCAAATGCCCATCAACTGGAGACTGGATAAAGAAAATGTGTCTTTTTAAATAAAATGGAGTACTACTCAGCCATAAAAAACGAGAAATTAGAGACATTTATAGCTAAATGGATGCATACTGGGGCGATACTCATAAGTGAAATAAACAGGACACACGTGTGTAAATACCGAATAGTTTCTCTCGTGTGAGACACTGAAAGTGTAAATAAGGACTTAAAGGTATAATAGATAATGTGAAATAGGAAGAAAAGGGGCAAAGGGGAAGGGGAAGTGGGAGGGGTAGGGGAAAAGAAAGAAGGGAATGGAATTAATATGAGAAAATGGAAAAATGGAAACAAAGTCTTTGTAAATAGGGAGGGATGGAGAGGCTGAAGGGAGGGCAGGGGAAGGGGGAAATATAAGAACCAAGAGAGATTATGTAAAGGTGCAAATTTCCAATGATGAATGCCATTATATTGTATACCTAAAATGTACCAATAAGGTAAAATTAAAAAAAAAAAAAAAAAAAGCATGTCTTCTGAGTCAAGTGTGGTGGTGCATGACTGTAATCCCAGCCTTTGGGAGGTTGAGGTGGGAGGACTGCTATAAATTCGGGGCCAGCCTGGGCTACACAGTGAGTTCAAGGGCGCTTGGACTACATAGCAAGATCCTGTCTTCAAAAAACCAAAGGGGGAATAAAAAAGTCTTCTGCTCCCAGATTGGTCTCCCCTGTGGCTGCTGCCCCTGGCTGGCTGGAACTGAGTCAAACTGGCATCTCTGGGGCACCAATGCCCCTGGAACATTGCAGGTGGGTTTTGTTTCCCCTGGATGATGTCATCTTGTCCAAGCTCAGTCTCCCTTCAGCAGCACTAGAGGAAGCAGGTGGTGGCCTCAGGCTCCCTGGCTGTTCTCTCTGGCATGGCCAGGGACTTAGATCACGTGAGAGATGATTTCCTTCCTTCCTTCCTTCTTTCTTTCTTCTTTTTTAATGTAAAAGGGGCCAATTTGGCACTGGCTCCTGAATGATAGGTATGAACTCAAACCTGGTTCCTGTTGGGTGGTTCCCTGTCTGAGCACAGGGCCGGTGGTTGGCCTACCCCAGCAGATGGCAGGTGGGGTCCGTCCATTGGTCGCATCCTGTCTCCTCCTCCATCACCTGCTATGTCCCACCATTGCTCCCTTGAAGTGTGACAATTTCCACAGCCCAGATTACAGTGACAAATGTACAACAGGCTACCAGGAGCTGCAAAACCCTAGATCTGATTTTGCAGTTTCCCTTTGTAACGCTGAGTCCTGTGCCGGGCTGGGGACAGACCTAGGCTGGACCCTGAGTTCTCTCTGGGAGAGCCTATCACCCTGTAGGAAGCTTGGAGGGAGAGGAAAGGAAGGGACTCACTGTGGTGCTTGGCCTGCACTGCCCCCTGGTGGAAGGCAGTTACAGCAGCGGCCCAGGGAGCAGCTGAGGACAGTCTGCATGCAGCCTTAGACTCAATGACCACCTCTGCTCAGACTGTCCTCTAACAGCCTGCTCCTTGTCAGCCCTGCATCATACCAGACAAACAAAAGGTGTTGGACAAAGGCATATGCGAGAATCCTACTGTCATCACTATGAGCACACTGGGCTTTTCAAGCCTGCATTTACTGCCCAATGGCTTATCTGTCGACAGCAACTGGGTGGGGTGGGATGGCTCAGTGTCTTTCAGATCCTCTTCCCAAAGCACCCTGTGTGTGTATGAGGGCACCCCCCCAAACAGTGGCCTTGGCAATCTGCCCTGACTCTTTGCAGTAGTCTCCCGCACCTGGGTAAGATTATTTTGCATCAACACTTCCTGCTGGAACAAACCACTTACCTGACTAGAGTGAAGACACTGATGCCACTACCGAAGCTGGAGTCACATGAGCCATCTGGGCCTCCTGGGAGAGGAACAGGTGACATGAAAGGCTGTTTGGTTTTTTGAATAAACAAGATCCCAGTTATAAAAACCCTTAAGGCTCTCCTCTCCAGTTCCCAATACCTTAATCCAGGCTCTTGCAAAGCAACAGGGCTCTGGAGCCCTGAGGACCCAATGCCTGCTTATTCTTCCCCAAAGCTTTTGGAATAGTACAGCTTGTAAGCGTCTAGGCATAGCAACCTCGAGGGAGGGGATCCCAGGCTGAGCACAGCTGGGAAATTTCAGAAGGGACTACTGGTCTAAAGGGCAATAGATGTTAAATGGCTTTTAAATACCTAACATCCTCAGTCATCAGGAAATGGAAATCAATTTACAATTCCCAATGAATGATACCACTTTATACCAGTAAGATGGCTTAAAAAAAAAGAATAACAACAAGCGTTGGTGAGAATGTGGAGAAATAGGAACCCTTTTATATTGCCGGCGGGAGTACAGAATACTTGGGAAACAGTCTTGGGAGATCCTCAAAAGGCTAAACACAAGAGGCATCACAGGACTAACAATTCCACTCCTAGATATACACTGAAGAGAAATGAGAACATCCACACAGAAGGCTGCAGTGTTACCTACAACTGTCAAATTGTGGAACAACCCAAATATCTACCTGTTGTTGAATGGATAAATGAAGTATTATTCAGAAATAAAAAGGAATGAAGTATTCACACATGCTAAAACATGACCTTTGAAAATACTGTGCTAAGTGAAAGAAGCCAATCACAAAAGATAAACATATTATATGATTCCATTTCTGGGAAATGTCCAGAATAGGCAAACGTGTAGAGACAGAAAGTGGATTAGAGGTTGCCCAGGGCTGGAGAAGATGGGGGAAGGGGATTCTTTTCAGGGCACTGAAAATATTCAAAAGTTGATTGTGGTGATGATTATACAACTCTGCGAATATACCAACGTCAATGAATTGTACAATTTAAATTGGGTGAATTGGATGGTGTATGAATTAGCTATCTCAACAAAGGGGGTAAAATATGACTTTAGGAAAGGACTGTGAACTGCAGTCTGCCCAAGTCTTTCTCCATGTGGCCAACTCAGTATCCATCTCTAGTATTTAATTTACTGCTCCTGGACAGCACAGGATCTACCTGGCATCAACAATGTATTTTTCCCACTCAAGGAATAACCTTAAAATTCCAACTTTTCTTTTCTGCCATCTAATTAAGTTTCCTAAAGATCCGAGACATTCTGGATCTGGAAGGCTGCCAGAAGGACCTTGTTCCAGCATCAGCCCCAGCCCTGGTGATGGAGCAGAGCTCAGGGCAGGTGGCACTCAGGAAAAAATGCCAGACTCCTGATATTAACTGTGTGATTTACAGCATGCCATGTAGCCCTTTTGGGTCAATTTTCTCAAATATACAGTGAGACTAATACTATCTACATTGCTTGATCCAGATTCTTGGATATTTTCCTAATAAAAAAACCTCCTTTTAATTTTAAAATTTTAGACATATAGAAAAACTGAAAAAATAATAAAGAATTCTCTGTAGACCCTTCCCCTTAACATTACCTGCTCCTCACCGCCTGCCTCAAAAGCACAAGGTCCCAAGTTCAATCCCCGCTACCAAAACAAAAACAAATGAAACATTAGCTGCTCCTAATGTTAACACTGTATTTTCCCATAGTTCAATTGTCAAAGCAAGAGCGGAACTTCGGCATAGTATCACTAACACCACTAAATGCCTAACTTGAATGTCACAAAGCTTTTCACTCCTGTCCTTTTGATTCCAAGACCCCACACTGCATTTAGCAGTCACATCTCCCGAGTCTCCTCCAACCTATGGTAGTTGCTTAGACTTTCATGTCTCTCATGACCTGGACACTTCTGAAGGACTGGTCAGTTACTTTGCAGAATGTCTCTCTGCTCGGGTTTGTCTCATGTTTTCTTGTGAGCAGATGCAGCGAGGCATCTTATCCTAGTGATGCTGACTGTATCACTTACTGATGTACCGTCTTGGAGTTTCTTCCCTGGGAGATACTTCTCTTTATCTTGGGAAAGATACTTGAGATTAGACAAGCAATCCTGCTTGTTCTAAACATCCCCTTACTGACTGTAGCAGCTACCAGTGGAACTTGCCTACAACAAGTGGTGGCATTTGCCTAATGGTGAGTTTCTAGTTTCTACTTCTATTTTTATTAACTGGAGTTCTTCTGTAAGGAAGAACTGTCCCTTCCCTGTCATTCACCGATTCAATCAGTTATAGCATCATGGACGCATGGATATTTATTCTGTGAGTTATAAATGAAAAGTATGATTACATTTATATTGTTATTCAAATAATGCGAGTCTTGGCCTCCTCAAAGTTTTAAATTATACAGATAAAACGTATTCTAAAAATTCCAAACAAATCAAGTCTTTGAACAGTGTCATTCCAGGAGTGAACCACGGTCCTTTTTCCCGACTTCTATATTAAATAGAAGAGATCCACACTGCCGCCTGTCGCTCCGGACCCAGAGGGGGATGGAGGACAGGTAGAAAGGGTGTGGCACTACGGCAAGGGGCTGGGTCTGTGGAGGCGCTGGTGCCTGCAGCCTGGTGTCCCTCTGCTAGGCCAGGGCCCAGGGAAGGAGGACGGAAGTGCTGGGGATCCCGGGCAGGACAGACTGATGCAGCAGCGGGGATCCATGCTCCTGGAGGCTTCCCTCCTCTCATCTCACAGAAACCCACATATTCACAGATGACAAAACAGGACACCAGGAAAGTGCCTGCACTCAGACACTCTCAGTTCTCATCGCTCCCGTGCTTCCTTCTGCACAAGGGTTCCCTGCAGACTGGGGCTGCCAAGGGCAGGGATTAGACATGCTGCATTTTCACGGATCCTGCCAAGCTGCCCTTCAGGAAGCTTCTGCCAATGTATATGTACTTCCAGAATGACAGAGCAGTCACACAGGGATATCAGTAATCTCTCAAATATTGGCCAACTTGATAGGTAAAAAGGAAACTTTACTTTGTACTCCTCTGCTCCCCTGTCCCACTGAGCATCGTATTCTGTCCTTCTGTATTAACTTCCTCCTTGTAGAGCAGGAGAATGACATAGCACTGTGAGCAGGGACTCTCCAGCCCTTTGGCCTGGGTTTGGACCCTGACTCCCCTGCTGATTAGCTGTGTGACCCTGGGGAAGTCATGTCACTTTGTCTCCCGTTCTTCACCTGCATGAAGGGGTAAGGACAGTGCCTGCACCGTGGACACGTCACGATAGCAGGTGAGCTGACACCTGTGAGGTGTTTAACTTGATTCCTGGCACATCCTAAAAGTGATATAAACATTTGTTAGATAAAGAGCAGGTGACTTGTCTCGGACTTTCACATTTTCTCCCATTGGGTTTTTTCCACTTCATTTAAAGGGGCTATTTCTTGTGCTGGACGTTATCTCTGACAGGGAAATATCCCATAAACATTTTCTCACAGCTTCTTTTGGTTATACTGGGTTTTGTTTTTTTTTCAGTACCAGGGATCAAACTCAGTACAGCCTATGACGACGGCTATGCCAGTGGAGGAGAGGGCCAGGCACCCTTTAGAAATTGGCAAGGACAGGGAAATGGGTCCTTTCCAAAGGGATCCAAAGGGAACACAGCATTTATCAGCTAAGAAGACCTTTCAGAGAGGAAAAAAAACCTTACCTAATTATTTCCTAAGGAAAGATTTTCTTAAACATTTAAGGCTCTTGATATATGCTGAGAAATGTATCCGCCAGGCTGTTTAACTTGTTTATTGCCTGCCTTGCCCAGCAGAAATGCTGACTCCGAGGGGAGCCATGTCTGTCTGCTGTATCTTCACCCTTCTCCTGGTCCCAGGGTTCCAGTGTGAGCCCGTGTCCCGGGGCACAGGGCTCCTCTACCTGGTTTGTCTTCTCTACAGCCTGTTTACCCTTGGAGACCCACTTCCAGCTGGTCGGGTTGAAGCTGGTTTGAATGAGTTGGAAGGCACTTGACAAAATATGTCAAAAGCCTTAAAAATTTAAGAATTTACCCATGGGAAGTAATTATGAACATAAGATTTTTCTATGAGAAGGTTCTTTTTAGCAGGGATTATGAGGTTAGGATAAAGCTAGAAGCAGTTAAATGATTTATAATGGGAGGTTGGCTAAATGAATTATGGCATTATCTACCTAATGTAATGATACAAGATAAGTGTTTTACATTAATAGGAAGGCCAATCTGGAATAAATAATCCAATTATAAAGTGTATCCCAAATGCAAAAGAAAAATTTGAACTTCCTGTTCCAGAGACCAATTTTATTAATACGTCTAATGACACAGTATTGGCTAAAAGTCAATACACATTGCATGTGGTTTGAAAAAAGTGGTGGAAATAACCCAGTGTCTATCAGCTGATGGCAACCTCGTGTGTGCATCTGCCTGAGCTCCTTCAGGGTTTGCAGCTGGCCTGCATGGGTCTGACTGACCCATACCACAGTGTCCATGGAAGTTGCTGATAAACCCTGTTCACTCTCAGCTTTGCAAATGGGTGGGTTTCATTACATGCACACCATGGAGGTCACATCCTTCCACCGGGGGAAGTCCTATTATAGCCCTGCTCCTCACCTGCCATGTGAACTTCTGTCCCCAGCCCTCTATGAACCCTCATTTGGAACCCACTGTGGGCCCATTAGCACCTGGACTGTGCTGATGATTAGACACAAGAGGAAAAGCCCTGGACGCATGCCTTACTATATAAATACCTACAGATGCTTCAATTTAATCACTTTTCAACTTTATGATGGTGCAAAAGCAAACCCACCCAATTATTCTGTTTTTTTACTTTCTGAACAGTATTTAATAAATTATATGAGATGGTCAACACTACTATAAAACAGGCTCTGTGTTAGGTCAGAGTTCCCAACCTTCTTGACACTAGGGTCTGATTTCACGGAAGACAATTTTTTCCATGAACTGGGAGGAGAGAGGATTTTTTTTTAATTTAAATTTTTTAGTTTTTGCATTAGATTCTCATAAGGAGTTTGCAGCCTAGATCTCTCCCATGTCCAGTTCACAGTAGGGTTCTAGTTCCTATGAGAATCCAATGCCCCAGCTGATCTGATGAGAGGCAGAGCTCAGACCAGGCCAAGCCACAATGTTTGGTAAATTAGGGCTATTAAATGCATTTTTGACTTACAATATTTTCAAGTCATGATGTATTTTTTCAGGACACAACCCTACACAGGATCCCCATATTAAAACAACACTAATGGACCTATTATTGAGTGCCACATGCCACACATGCAAAAATCTGGTTTGAAATTCTCAATCACACTAAAGGCTAGGTATTACTATTGTTATCTTACTTAACAAATAAGGAAGCTGAGCCCTGGAAAGGCTAAGCAGCTGTCCAAAGGCAGCAGATATGAAGTGAGCAGAGCCAGGACTCACAGGCATGTCGTTTGAACCCCAGAATTTCTCCTGCAACACTCAAGGAATGTGATGGGGGTGGGTGGGTAAGGTGGACACCTTAAGTGCTGGAAGAACTCAGAATCAGGGAAAGGGTCTGCACTCTGGATCCTCTCAAATGGCAAGGCCAAGATGGGGCTGCAGCACGTGGAGAGGGGCTGCCCTGACTGCAGGCCCTGGGGTTAGGAAGGAAGGAGACACTGGAGGTTGGGGTCTGTGTGTGTGTGTGCATGTGTGGGTGTAGAATAGACTTGCGCTCCGAAGACACTCAACAAGTAGGAAGTTCCTGTTGCAGCCAGGTGGACCAGCAGGGGCACAGAGGGACGCTGGGATGAGCTTGCCCACTGACTAGCTAGATCATCTCTGTCTCCTGGCCTGCTGGGACTCTCATCTTGGGGAAAGCCTGCTGACTAGTTACAAGCTGAGCAGGGCTGAGAGCTGATGTGAGGTTGTCAAATTAGCTGTTGCCATCTCTGGGAACTACTATAAAGTGTGCTTTTCATCTGCTGAAATGCTGTTTATGAGGCAGTAAAATCCAGAGCCAAGCTGCCTGAACATATCTCGGTTTAGGTTAAGATTCTTCTGAGTAGGCAGGTGCCTGAAGAATGCTTACAAAAACTACTTAAAAGGGAAAAGAAGTTGCATTGGCTGGGAATTGAACCCGGGCCTCCCTCGTGGCAGGCGAGAATTCTACCACTGAACCACCAATGCTCCAGCTGTGTACTGATATCTGCCTCCAGCTGTTTTGCAGCTCTGGCTCACTGTGGTGATGTCACAGCTGTAACTTGACACTCAAGACAGGTCCAATAAGGAACGTTGCTCAGTTCCACCAGCCAAACCCACAGGAATTGGCCACGGACTGACATTCTGCTCAGATATTCAAAAGATCCGTGAAGAGCAAGGGAGACAAGGCTCCAGCCGTTCTTTGGCTCCTGGTTCGGGTTCTAGACCTTACTCTGTTATCCTTCAGGACTGGAGTAGGGTGTGCTTCAATCTAGTCTGACTGGTCCTGCACAGGCGGACATCAGTCTAAAGCTGATCAGTGACCTCTCATTCACAAAACAGGGTCCCCGATGGAGGCGAGGGCGGGGAAGCGGGGGGGAGCAGTCTACTCACCACTCGCTGTCCCCTCCTGCTTTGCCACAGAGTCCTCGGAGTTGGGTTCTGTCTGCCGCTGTAGTGCTGGCTTCAGCTCATCTGGCTCGTCATCCTCAGGGGTGACCAGCTTCATTAGGCTCTGGTTGCACACATTGGCCACCTCCTTGATGCCTGTGTCCACTGATGTAAGGAGCAGGAGTCTTCCCTAAACCGGAGGCCACTTCCTGGGCAGGGGTTCAGTCTTCCCCGGGAGCTGTCAGTCTAGCTGGAGTCCTTGGTCTCCTTGCCACTCTTTCTTTTCTAGGGTCCCCTCCTTGTGGCCTTCCCCCCAGCAGGATCCCCCCACCTAAGGTGCAGCAGTGTGAGCTCAGAGGGGTGGAACCTGGCACCCAGGAGAGTTGTTCCCCATTTGCAAGGAATAGATGAGGACTGAGGTCAGCCAGCATGGGCTCTGCATCCCTGACTCTGTGTCCATGTTTAGCCTCACTTGTCCCCTGGAGGACTATCTGGAGTGATGGATCCTACACTTGACCTTAGCCAAAAGGCCAAGAAGCGATTGGAGTGATGGATCCTAAGGGAGGCCCCCTTCCCACTCAGAGTCCCTCCATTTCATGCCCTCCTCGGGGCTGCCCTGCTTCTTCTCTTCTGAGTGAAGGATACTTTTCTTGCGGTCGTCATAGGCCAAGCAGGGCAAGACAGCAGTCAGGATCCCAGAGGAATAGGGCAGCATCACCCGGCCAGCCAGCTGGATGAACTCCCGCATCCAGCACATGGCTGTCAGTTGGATCAGGTCATCTGGAAGGGAATCAGTGGGCCCCAGAGGGGTCGGCACGCACATTGGGAGAACTCCCTCCCACCGACTGCACACGCAGGATGGGACTGGGGAACCAAGGGAATGCAGGGGTTTCATTGCTTCTGGCCTCACCAATTAGCCCTTACTGGGGTGCTCTGCCTTCTGTCGGGATAGCAGGTTAGAAGGCAGCAAGAATCCTGTGCTGCTGTGTGAAAGGAACCCCATCTCTACCCTCCCTGGATCTGGGCCCCTCTGGAATGCGATTTTATGTCTCCTTTCACCAAGAAGTGGGGTCTTTTCCTGCCCTTGAATCAGGACTGGCCTTTGTACTCTGGCCAGTAGCTGGCAGTGACAGTGATGGTGTGCTGGTTCCCACTCAAGTCTCAAGAGACCTTGCCCACTTCTCCTGTCCCTCTTGGAACCCTGCTTAAGTCACCTAGTTGATGAGACCTGGACCAGCTCCCCCTACTACTCAACTGATAGGCAGCCAACTGCTAGATGTGAGGCTGCTCCAGTTCACCCAACTCCATACCTTGCAGCTGACTTGCAGGTCCAGGCCCAGCCTGGCCTAGGAAAGCAAAACCACCCAGCTGAGTTACAGACCCACGGCCAATGACAAGTGGCTGTTTTTTTTTTAATTTATTTTTTTGAGACAGGGTCGTGCTATGTAGTTCAGCCTAGCCTCGAACTCACTATGGAGGCCAGGCTGGCCTCAAACTCACAGCCATCCTCCTGCTTCAACCTCCCGAGTGCTGGGATTACAGGCATGTGCCACCACACCCGGTTCAAGTGGCTGTTCTTTTTTTTTTGGTACCCCGGATCAAACTCGGGATCTTGCGCTTTTGAGGCAGGCAGCGGAACCACTGAGCTAAATCCCCAGCCCTCAAGTGGCTGTTTTTTAAGTAACTTTATTTCACTGTGGCTTGATACTGAGAAAAGCTAATGGATACACTTTCCTCCAGGCCTCATTCCAATTCTCAATGTTTAAGTTGTAGTGAGGAAGTTTCCAGAACAAGGGAAAGGGCCTCCATGTCAACAGAGCGCCACATCTCTCCCAGAGGCCCACCACTTTACTGCTTCTGGGCTCCAGTGACACACCAGTTACCTCTCCCACCAGGGCTCCCTCCTGCCCCTTCACTGAAGCCGAGATGTGACAGAGGAGGCAACGGCCGTGGGGCCTTCCGCACTCACCTGTGGTCTGGCAGTGGATCACCAGGATGTTTGCCATCTCAGCAAACTTAACACTGGAAGGGTTCTTCTTAATTTCTTTCAAGAATTCTCCAAGAACCACCTCGCACCTACCAGTGAGAAAAGGAGGAGGGAAACAGCCTGTGTCAGACAGGGCTGTTTCTGGCCCCAGCCAGTGCCCGTTGCTGCTCTAGGTCAGCCACCTGGGGTGTGGACATTATGCAGGGCTGGGGCTGATGAGCTCTCAACTCTTCGAGCAGGAAGCATGGGAGCAGAAAAAGTGAGTGTTGTGCTTTTCTGCTGCTGTCGGTGGGGCTCTGGGTTCATGTGCACCCTCAGGACTCCCGGCAGGGGGCAGCGGCCTATCTTTCCCCCACTCACATTTTCCGAATCTCTTTGCCATTGTCACCCAGGATCTGGAAGAGTCCATCCAGGATCTCCGGCAGGTAATCCAGCAGGTTAATGTCTGGCACGGACTCCAGAACTAGGATCTGATCCAGGGAAAGCAGCAGGAAGGAGTGTTAGCCCGGGCCTAGGGGCTCCTCCTCGCCACTCCCCTGGGACCGGGGCAAGGACGGATCCTTGTGCAGGTGGTGTGTCACAGCACTGCTGGTGTTCTTGGGGAGGGTGCTGGAAGTGATCATTTTTGTTCCATGTGCAGGGGAATGGTAGTTTGGCTCCAGAGGGATTCCGGTGTGTGGGGAAGGGCAGTCAGGGCTAGAAAAGGTGTGACTGCTGGCGGCTTCACAGGGCAGGCTGGGTGTTTTCTATGACAAGGAGAGAACTGTATTCTTCAGGAACGAACAGGAAGGGCTTTAGGGGCAAAGCTGGATAGAGTTTCAGGACTGTCAGGAGCCAGTGGCCATTAGAGGGTAACAGAGAGGCTTCATGGAGAGGGAAGAACTGCCAAGGATGTGCCTGGTAGCAATGTGACTCTGCCAGAGCTTCTCTGTGGCTGGAGGAGCCAGGCAGGGGCAGGAGCTTACCCAGGAGATGATGAATTGCCGGGCGTACTGGTTGTTGGAGTAAATTCTCTCCCGCAACAAGGGGATGAAGCCCACCAAGTCGAACTTGTTGCTCTCAGTCACAATGTCCTGTGGATCAAAGGAATGTGAGCTGCTGGCAACCAGAGAGCAGGACTGCTGGACCTACTGATTACGGGGCCCAGGGATGGCTCAAGGGGCCAGGAAACCAGGGAGGGAAATGGCAGAGCAGGACGGGTCCCTGGAAAATCCATCCTGTCACAAGCCAAAGGATAAGCAGAAGGCATGGACTGAGAGCAGGAGTCAAAGCCAAGAGAACTAGTTGGATGGCAAAACCCTCCTCCTGTATTCTGGAAGGAACTGTCACGGGAAGGGTGATGTGCAAGGTGAACTTCTTCGCTCTGGTTGGGGGCATCTGAGGGGATAACATAGCTCCATACATGTGTCACAGAAATGCACACCAGACAGTACACCTTACTATATGAAAATTAAAAAAATTAAATTAGGAAGAATACCCCCAAGGACAGAATCTCTAAGATGTACAGACCGAAGGAAGAGATTCTAAAAATAAAAGTGGGGAGAGAGTATAAATACCTTTAAAAGGCGGTCTAGGAGCTCAGATCCGCTTTTCACATTGGGGTCTGGGTCAGCAGCCAACTACGAGGCCCAGAAATAAAAAGAAACAACAAGGCAATGGTCATTGTCACATGTAACCAAGGAACTTACTGCAAACCAACGGCCAAGGCCAGTGTGGCTCAGAACACCACGGGCCCCTCTCAGTGAGTGACGCTGAGAAAGGAAGGGAAAAGGGTGAGCAAAACGGAACCAGGCTTAGGAACCAGGTCAGTGGGGCTCCCCATTCTGTTCAGGGAGGCCGGGGGCATTTCTGTGCCCTGCTGTGACGGGGTCAGGTGGCTCCTTCCCCTTGGTGTTGCCTCCTTGAAACACTGGGTCCCCCTCACTGCTGGGGGAAGGCTCTCCAGCGGGCTGCGAAGAAGGGAGGACTCCAAAGCCCTTACAGGCGACACTTTTTCTAGAGCAGCAGGGAGCTAGAATCATCCCCTCCTCACAGGGGAAATACAGTTTGGACAGTGGACACCATCTGTCAGAGGGTTAGCGCTTCTCAGACTCAGTTTTTTCCTTCCAATGTGTGGCAGATTGATACTTTTGTAAAGTGCAATAAAAATGAATTAACTGAGAAATGAAAACATATATCAAAACAAACTCATCTTAAAAACTATTAGATTCACAAAGGAGCCAACCACCCTCATTGGAGGAAAGATAGCCTATTTAATAAATGGGGTTGGAAAAACTGGATTTCAACCTGCCAAAGATTAAAACTAGACCCATATATATCACCATGCACTAAACTAAGGTCAAAGTGGATTAAAGATTTAAATATCAAGACAGAAACACTAAATTTTCTGGAATATAAGTTAGGTAGAACTCTTGAAGACACTGGTATAGGGAAAGACTTTATGAGCAAAACCTCAGTGGCAAGGGAACTTGCACAAAGAATCAACAACTGGGATCTCATCTTATTAAAAAGCTTCTGCACTGCAAGAGAAACCACCAACAGAG